GGAATCCAGGTGAAGGCTTTTCTTTTTATGATAATTTACATTTTGAATCATTTATTCAGGATTTTACTTTGCACATTTAATCCAGTTTTTCCTGTTCCTTTATAATTGGCTTGTGGTTTAAGTAGGTACACACACCCATTCACTCCTGTCCACACACCTTGTTCAGGGTAACGGGCAACATTCTCAACCACAGAAATGTATAAAATATACATCCTTCAATTAGAGGAAAGTTGTTCTTTTCCCTGAAGATCTCTTACTTAAAAAGTAAACTACTGTCTCTTATCTTTTATGTATATTTACTACAATAATATCTCGTTAAAAGATAAAATAAGGCAAATTGTCATATATACTATAGAAAAATATAAAAAGAATAATCAGCCTCAAAAGAACTATAGCCAATAGAAATTGTTTTGTCAAAAGTAATTAATTTTGAAATGTCAAATTGGAGATCTGAAACAAAGTACTGGCTTTTTCAGAATGCTTGAACATATAAAGAAATGAAATGGTTTACTTTGATTTTTTCTGCACTGCAGTTTGATTGTATTAAGAGGCATATACTTTTCCATTGTGGATTTCCCCTGGCATATGGAGTCCACGCCAAGTTTCCTTAACTCATCGTAATTCCTTCAAAATCTGCCACCTAGTCTTCTATATTTGTGTTACTGCTTTTCTGCAGTCCCCTATGTGTATCAAGACCTGATAATATTCTATTCACTAGGTCCTAGAGCCTCTGCAGCTTCAACTGTATTTATCATTCCTGGCTTATTTCTAACATCTAAACTGTCTGCCTTTTGAATAAATAAATGATTTTTGACTGGATAACAGTGCATGCAGTATTTGCCCTGACTCCATATCAGACAGGATTTCACATAAAATATGGAAGGGAAAATATTGATAATCACTGTTAATGGACTTGAAGACAGTTTCTCTTGGCCCGGTACCATGCGTCCTTTGTTATGGAAATGGTCTAGTTGGATTTGTTGTTGGTTTATAGAAAACTGGATTGTGAATTGATCTCCTAACACTGCTCCTCAGGGGACAGCAATGAGGATATGAAGAGGTCTGGCCATGTGAGTAAAAGGCTCATCCAAGTCTCTTTCCAAATGGTAAAAACATAGATAACATTCAATATGATTATTAATTATATACTTAGTAATTGCAAATCTGGTTTTGGGGTCCCCACGTGTTCATATTTCTCTTGATATTTGATTCAGAGTAGGGAGAGAGGGAGTCTCGTGGGATTGAAAAAGGAAGAAGGTGAAGACAGCTGTTCACTCCATCTTTGCCACTTCCTTTGAACCCAACACATGGCGCACAGTGAAGAGAAGCTCAGGTAAAAATGTCAGAAGATGTTAGATACACACGACTGTGTTTAAAGGTCATGCAGACAATCTGAGGCAGAAGAACCTTCCCTCAACAACCAAAGAGATTCCGGGAATAACCACAAAGGTAGGATCAGGGAGATCTTCAACATGGGTTTTCTTCAGAATTGATCTATTTCTTAATCCCACGTGCTGCCTGTTTTCCCTTCCATGGTTCACTTGTACTCGACAGAGCTAGTTAGTGTAAAGCATACATGTGAGTTTGGTTTAGAATCTAATCTATACATATGAGTTACCTCATTAGTGAAAAACGTGATCACGTCTCCCACAACTGACAGAAAACTGCCAGAAAAATGTAAGCGAGAATTTTGTTGATCTAATCATACTCAACTTAAGATATTATTTTCTGAGTAATTATCAGATAATGAATATGCTTTATATTTTATAAATAAGTCTAGTTTTTAAGACACACTGTAATGTTTGGATCTTAGGTAAATTTAAGATATCCCATGATGTCAGATAGCTATTGCAGTGAAGTGACAGAGAAGACTGACTGACTCAGTGAAACTTCCACGTACTACTCCACCATTACCATTGCATAATTTTATTTCTCAATGACTTACTCTGCTTTTATTTATATATGGTGAGCATATGAAACCACCAAAAACCTAAAGGATTTGGGTAGAGGCAAAGTCTGTCGTAAGGTAAGCCACCGGTCTAAGACCCTATGTATAATCAATACGGCATGTAAAAATGTTCTACCTCACTTTCAAATACTTTTGACTACAGAATTAAATCAAAGACGTAACTAGATGGAGCCAAGAGAGCAAGCTTATTATCATTTTAGAATATATACTTGATAACATATTTTTAAGAGGGACATTAATCCTTTTCAAGGAGGTAGGGAGGAATACAGTGGGGAAGACTTTGATTTTAAAAATATAATTTCAGTTATGTCATCCTAATTTTTCCTTTCTTTCCCATCCTCTTCTCTTTTCTCAGCTCCCCTCCTCTGTCTTCCCGCCTTCTCTCTCCTCTTTCCTGTCATTTTCTTACTCCACAGGGTGACTACTATGTGAAAGGTACTGCATTAAATACACGAATACACTTGGTATTCAACTTTCAGCCAATTACTTCCTGGTGTTTTTCTCTATTTGAAACTAAGAATAATAACCCATTATTATAACCTTTCTAGAAATGAGAAAGGTCATATCAACAGTAGACAACTGTTATATAATACAGATTTTAGGCTTGTCTGCTTTCTGGGTCTCATAATTCGATGATTCTCTTATTATTGAAGTTAGTGTAAAAATAAGTACTGTAAAAATATTGTTCCTTAATAGTGGAGTGTGATGTGAATGCAAAGAAACTATTTTATACAAGACATCACATATCTCATTCGAATTTGATTAAGTAACTGGAAACTAAATTAGCACCATCCTTGGAACAGGTTTTGTGATTCCTTGAATGACACAGCAAATGTCTTATGAGATCCTCAAAGTACTGTAACATTTAATCAATTGGTAGAAAGCAAATTAGTTGCTGCCCAGGGGGCATCAACCTGTGGCCAACTGTTTCAAGCGCATGGTCCAGGTCTAGAGAGGAACTGCTTCCTGCCCTCACACTGCTGTTTTACACCTGAGGGTCATCACTTTGGCTATTACATGGCTAAGGAGGTTTAGCTTTTTTTTTTTTTATCATGAAACAATAAAAACTTCTCATGATCACTGCTTCATTCCTCTTTACACAAAATTATACAGGAAATTCTTGGGAAATAAGCTAAAGTTGAATGGAAGAGCGAAAGAATTACCTTTGAAATCGTAGCCATCATTACTGACAAGTACCAGAGAGAGTGCCCAGGGATCACTTATCAACGTGATACAAGCCAGGAAAAGGGAGTGAGTTAATTTCAGTTTGAGGGAATAGGAACACGTTTAGATCTATAAATTTTTTATGAAGCAATTTTGTTACACCTGATTTGTGTGTAAGTCATGAAAACTGAACCGAGTTTTCTCTCCTATGAAAGCTGGAGGCAAATCTGGCTTAAAGCCTAGAATGGAGCGCTCGAGTCTTGTTTCAGAGCCCTCTCCGGAACATTGTTTCTGTGTGTGTTATAGAAACATTATCTTGCTTCTGTCACTCTCAGTGGCTAAATGATAAGGGTTATTTTTTTTTACCAATGATGTGAATAACTCAAGTCACTACCGAACTTTGTAATGTCATTTCTGCCAAACATACCTAAATCTACCAAGATTTGTCATTGAGAGTTAAGGATTAAGGCATTAAACTACAAATCATCTGTTCATCTCCTCAATTCCAATCACTGAGATATTAATAATATATATGAAAGCTACATTTTTATATTTGCAGTTAACTCTGAGAGCTTAGCTCACATAGATTTTTACTTCCAATCTTTTGCACCACCACCACCACCAACAACAACAACAACAAAATTTCTGTGCACTTGATACCATTTTTGTTTCTAGGGAGAAAAAAAGGTGACATAACACTTGTTAGAATTAAAATTGCTAACTTTTAATTCACATAAATCAGTGGCATTGTTGGTCACAAAGCCTCCGACCATGTCAGTAATTATCCAACAATAAAACCAAATGACACTGAGGCATATGTATGGTTTGATACTATTTTCTGTTTTAATTAAGTAGGCAAGGGTAATTGAAAGGCAAAAGAAAAATATCAGTGCAATAATTTTAGGGTCTGATGGCATAATTTTGCTAAGAAAAGCCAGAAATGTGCATGATGGGATTTTGTTTTTATTAGATTTCCCAGTCTTTTCAAATGTTCCCATTTTATTGCTAGCAGGGCCAGCCTTCTTGAAAATATTGGTGTCATCAATTGTAGCATAATTACTAATTGTGATAAAAAACACAAGAATTATGATAAAAAATTCCAAGAATGAATTTCCTAATTCCATTTTGCTGAGACACATAAAATATAAAGTGGATTTGCATGCTTCAGGTCCAAGGGAGGAAGGCAGTTGAATATTTTACAAAATGACAAGGAGGAAATAATGTGTGATTATAATAATGCCATGGTTAATCCACACAGGGATGTACAGAACTGTGAAATTGTATTTTAAAATGCTTAATATTATATATTTTGTTTCCCTCATTGATAAAATATGGCTTTGATCAGATTGGTATTTTTAGAGAAAACTGCGCATTAATTTTCTTTCTCAAAAATTTCTCCTGAACTTCCTCCTTTCTGGCTTTTCTTCAAATCATTTTTCCTTAGTGAAATGGAACTTTAATTAAATCTCTATAAACTCATCCAGCTATGGAATTACTCTTTCTGTTAATAACCCTCCGTTTTTAAGTCTCGTTTCTAGCAAATTCTAAGTGGCAGTGGCAAAGTGGCTTAACTTCACCCGTGTTTTATTTTTGAGTTGCAATGTTGGGACCCGAAGCACTAGTCCTATTTATGTAAAATCTTTCCTAGAAGAGGCGGCACTGTGCTAACTGGGTGCTCTTTCACTTCCTTGATACTATTTTCACAGCACTGGGTATCATAGATGTGCTTCCGGCACTTAAAAAAAGTCACTTGGATTTCTTTTCGACAGCATATTTCAGAAATATTTGTTTTCGTATTGTGGGTCTATCAACTGTGAGCACAATCCTGGTGTATCCGCCAGCAGAAAACTTCACTTGAAATACCTACCAGCAGGAATCCTGGGGGGCAAAGATCCTCCCCCTGGCACTGGATGAGGGGCCTGGATGCTATTTAAAAACCCTGCCCTCAGGAAGCTGGGGCAAAACACCTCCACCCCAACGGCCGGGAAGGATCCTTTTAAGAGATAAAAATTGACATTAATCATACAGTCTTCTTGGTGGAAAAGTTGTTCATCATTCAATTGGAACAAAACCTATAATCAACAAAGACATCAAACCTTACAAGGAAGCTATGAAATTAAAAGGAATTGAACACATTTTTATTCATAAATATTAAAAATCAACCTAGTTTTTTGAAAAGAAATCTACCCTTAACTAGTTACGTTTAATAAAGAGGGTTTAGAAGCATCAGAATGCTAAGATAAAATTTCTAAACCTACATTTGATAAAGGGGATATAGATGGAAGTCACTGATGTTGTCTATTAGCGGAATTCATGTCTACGTGTGCTATAGACGCACGGTGAGAGCACAATGGAGTCTGAGATCTCTGCTGCTCTGGAAGGGGCAGAGCTTTACTTCAGGTGGATCCCTCTTAGGGCTTACAATGAGGAAACCTTCTACACCATATGGAAATTGCATGTGTTTTTGAAATAGCAGTAAGAAAATCAACATACACAATTCTTAATTTGTTTCACTTTTCTATTAGGGACAAGACACGAGAGTTTGCAAAGGTAGAACCACATGCTTTATTGTTTTTAAGAAGGCTATTGTCAAGCAAGGAAAAAAAACAGTAAACTACTCAGAAATTTATCCATAAAATTAGATAATGAATCATAGAATAAAAGAATATCTGAGCTGGAAAGGACTTTAGAGATCATCCAGTCAAAACATCCTCATTTTACAGACCAGCAAACTGAGGCCTGGAGTGGGGTGAGATATCACACAGCCAGCAGACTCCCAGGACAAAATCTTGCTACTATAGATTAAAAATAAATAATGAGGGGCGGGGCCGGTGGTGCAAGCGGTTAAGTGCGTGCACTGCGCTGTAGCGGCCTGGGGTTCGCACGTTTGGATCCTGGGCGCGCACAGACACACTGCTTGTCGAGCCATGCTGTGGCAGCGTCCCACATAAAGTAGAGGAAGACGGGCAGGGATGTTAGCCCAGGGCCAGTCTTCCTCGGAAAAAAGAGGAGGATTGGCATCAGATGTTAGTTCAGGGCTCATCTTCCTCACAAAAAAAAAAAAAAGAAAGAAAGAATGAGCCACTTCCTATTTGGGAGACTGCTATTCTCTGAATATAATTAGAAACCCTGAGCTACGGAATAGCAGCATTACAATTTGGTGTCTCCAAGGCCTGAAAGACTAAAATCATTTGGAAGAAAATTCAATACACATGCAGTATCAGCGCATGGGCCACACTGGTAACTGATGTGGTATATCTAGTTTAAACCAGAAGAACTCCCTAAGAGCAAGCCACACTGATGGTGTCAGGAACACATCTCACTCGGGCCCTCTGAAACCCCCTTGAGGCCCGGCGGGCGAGTTTCATGCGTGCAGACCTGAGATCTCTCCTCCTACCCTCAGATTTAGCAAGTCCCGTATTTTTGAAGAGACTTCATTCTGTTCCTTGACAACTTTTGCACCTAAAATAAGTTAAAATTTGAGGCTTCTCTGAACTTTGGCCAGGATTAAGGAGATCTGCCACACCATACTCTATCTATCTACGGAGAAAGTCGTTGCTAAAGAAAAGCCAGCATTTCTTAGATCTCTGGAGATGTTTTGATGCAAGAGAAAAGTTACAGTGGCTGTTTTAACGGGTGAGGTCTACACATTGTGTGTTGGATTAAGGGAAGCATAGAAAGAAAATCACATACTGTGAAGACACTGGTTTTGTCGCTGATTTTATGGGGCTTTAGCCACATTGTCCAGCAGAGCTGGAGTCCCTTAAACATTAAGAGGTCTGGCAAAAGCGCTCAGTGCTAGGCCAGAAAGTGCTCTGAGGTAACTTTCCAGGAACAGGGAAACTCATTTCTTCTTTGCTCTTGCACAGGATATTTATCACCGAGCACACGGTGACATGTGCCCACGTGTGACATTTCCCACACAAGGCGTTTTCCACACTGCAATGTTTCATCACTGTCGAAAAAACACTCATAACAAAGCAGCATCACTGAATACCAGGTGGTGATAATTATATCTTATATTTATAGGGTATTGTTATTTAAAGTTACAAAAGAAATGCTGATTTTACAACAGGGAAAATAATTACAAAAAATTCAAATTTTATTATATGCTGTGAAAAACAAAAATAATCCAATTTTAGCAGATTATGGATTTATTGAAGCCAAATAATAGGGAGCCTGGTTCAAGAATCCTAGATCATGAAGAAAAAGAATAACATAATCATGCTCAGGAAGGAAAAAGGGATATAAATGTAATTATCTTAATGGAAATTTGAAGAAGAACAAAAGCATGTAGAGCATTGACTCTAAATAATGTTAATATGCTTCACATTTAGAGAGTTTTTATCCAAGTTTTTGCTATTTTTGCCAACATTAGTCAAAACCGTTAACTTAGAAAAGATGTCCACTATTTTTAACTCCTTGAAAGAAACTAAACACAGGTATTATTTTATTGCTATGATTACCTCCATTCCTAGTTTTGTCGTTGTGACAGCCTGTCATATTTAATAGCAGTGTTCATTTCCCCAAACTTGCTGCCTCATTCATATGTCTTTGTTATGTCTCTTAACCATGGATTAAAAGGTCTTTCGCATATTGTGGCAACCCTTCCTTAAGGAAGTGTCATTTTTGAACATGAAACAAACAGAAAAGCTGGTGTACTTGAACACATATTCAGTTGAGATATCATATGATGTGATAATAACGCCTTATCATTTTTCTCCTTAAGGTCAGTCGTCTCAATGGAGATTGCACACAACACTACAGCTCTAAGTTTTCACAACTCAATCAGGAAAACTGAAATTACTCTTTGTTATAATTCCCTTCTCTCTTAATCCGCAAGAAATTAAGTTCATGAACATTTTGGGATTTGATATGAAATAATTTTAGTCTGGTTTGCCCTGTTGTTTAAGTTGCTGACTTTCTCTGACTTTTTCTTAAAAGTAATTGTGGAATTTATTAATTATATTGTAGCTGAAGAAGAAATAATGTTTAATATCTCTAGCAGGAGAAATATAAATTTCCGTGAGTATTTTGTTTTTAGTTACATTTAGTAGACTAAGTATTTGTTAATAAAAATTAGATTTTTATGTGATGAGAGTATCCCTCTAGCCACTGCAAGCTTGAAATATAAGATGTGTCACTTAACACACACTTCTCTAAATCTCAAATACCTGAGTTTCCAGTTTGTTAATGATCTTGAGTTGGTGGGTTCAAGAGAGACCAGAATGTAACATTAACATCATATTGTCTCCAATATAGAGTTGCCCGATCACTGGCATCCTATATTTTTATTTGCTAAATCTGGCAACCCTACTCTAATATAATTCCAAACACTTACGGATATCAGGCAGGCAAAAGACACTCTCGACTACTGGTGTAAGGTAAATTAACCTAAGTCACTGGCTGCAGGGGTCGGTGATCCATCTGTCTTTCCTTAGCTCAGTGGTCCTGGGTGCCCCTTAGGGAGCACTGCAAATTACTACTGGAGAAAGACACTACTGGTGTTCAGTGGCAGGGGGTCACAATGGACGGTAAAGGCATTGCAATAAGTGGTACACTCCCTGCACGAGGGAGAATCCTCTCTCCAAATGCTAGTAGCACCCACTAAGAAACACTGTACGAAAGGTAAAGAATCCTGAACAAAGGTTGCTAGTCAACAGGGCGTATAATGAGATCACAGTGTGGAAAAGCAGAAGTGGACATGGCCTACATTCTGACATTTGGTTTGATCAGTTAACGGAGGATTCTGATTACTCAGATTACCTGAAAGTAACCTGGCCTGTAGAGTAACTAGATTTCAAATAATCCTAATAAAATATATTTAACACAAACTCTATGAAACAACTGAAATAACTCTATGGTATAACGATATAACTGAAAAATAACTTTTTATGAGATCTGAAATAACTTTACATTAGAAATTAGATACCATTAAGAATTTGTGTAAAAGATGACAAACTATGACTTTATACTCCTTTTGCCTCAATTTCCTTATCAGTAAAATGAAAATAACAACTGGCTCTACCTCATGGGCTGTTTGTGAGGATTAAATGAAAGTAAAAGATCATATATTATTAAACAGTCCTGTTTTAACAAAAGAAACCTCTTTAGATGAGAAATTGAGATAAAGATGGATTAAATTTTTAATGCAGACCCCCCCCCCCCCACATACCCAAAACTCTAACAGAAGAAATCCCTTCCTGGAAGATTCCGTGTCAGTCATTTACTAGGGACACTATCCCTACCATGTGAACTTTTGAGACATGACTCCTTCACACTGTTTTCATTAGAGTGTATTTCTGCAGATACCCACTCTAATCTATGTGAGGACAAAGAATACACAGGCTTCAATAAAGACAAACAATTTAGAACTGGAAACTTAAAATACATGCACACACGTCTGTGTTAAATAAACTATAAATAAAATATACTCATAATTCTCCCTGTGGAGGGTGATCAAATGTTTTTATTGTTCAAGGTGTGTGATCAGATAATTTTGGAAATCACTTGTTTAAATAATAAAACAGTGAGTAAAATGCTAAGGTATTCATGAACTAAATAATTACTGCAAGAGCTTGAACAGGTAGGGCAGGGCCTTGCTTTCACCTGGTCCAAGGCAATGATCCTGGAAGACCATGCTGTTCTTTGCACAGTGGTTCTCAACCTTGGACGTATGTTAGAAAATATGTAATAAAGTCCCAAGTGAACATATAGAATATGGAAAATCCATGCCTTCAATTCCTAAAATGAGTTCTTTGTCAACTACCATGTGAAATGCAAGGATGATCTAATCTGATCTAAAGAGAGATCACAAAAAGTCATTGGGAAGAGTATTAAAAATATGGATTTATACTTACATCATAACAAACCTGGCCCTAAAAAATATACTGAACTTACAATCAGACATTAAATTGATGTTTTGCACTATTAATATATAAAATGAATATTTCAAAATATTTTAATTTCATTCCTTTTATTTTGTTTTGTGTG